AACACAGGAAGGTTTGGTGGGCTTTGGGGGGGCACTTTTCAGGGTCCTTCCCTGGCTGGGGGGTGGTGGGTGGATGGGGTGGGAGGTAGGCTGGGCGTGGGGGAGGAGGGATGGGGGGAGGGGGGGGAGAGGGAGAAGGGACTTACTTGTTCCCTAACTAGAACTAATAAATAAGTTAAAAAAAAAAAACCAAAAAGGAAATTTTATCTAAATCTCTACCATTCTATAGAGGGATTCAAGGTTGAGGTGAAATCCTGCTGGCTCAGAGAGGTGAATAGCAAATAGCTAAGCTCTCCTTGGGCTCCTGGAAAAAGCCAGTGATGGGGTGGGGGTGGGTCCTTCTGCTCAGCCTGTCCCCCCCTCAACTAAAGAACCCTCACTACACTTAATTCCTCCCTATCACTTCCTGTCAGCTAATTGCTGACTCAGCCTCCTGACCCCAGGTTAATTTGATTTAATCAAACATGCGGAACAGGTCTTTGCAGCATTGACAAAAGCAGCAGCAATGTAACACAGAATGTAACACAAAAGCAGCAAATGTTCCGGGTGTTGGTGGCGCACGCCTTTAATCCCAGCACTCGGGAGGCAGAGGCAGGCAGATCTCTGTGAGTTCGAGGCCAGCCTGGTCTCCAGAGTGAGTGCCAGGATAGGCTCCAAAGCTACACAGAAAAACCCTGTCTCGAAAACCAAAAAAAAAAAAAAAAAAAAAAAAAAAAAAAAGCGGCAAATGTAACACACCTTTACTTTATTTAACACAGTTAAAATAATATTCCACAGCAATGATTCACTGATGGAAGCTAGCTAGCCCTGTGATTGGGGATTAGCCATATAATGTCAGTGTATCTTGCCCCCAGTAGTAATCGCAAACAGCGATAGGAACATTTGAACGATGAAAGCCAGTAGAAACACAAGTAGCGAAAGGGAACATGGGCAATAATAATACCTAGTGACACCAGGATCTCTGGTGTGGGCTTCTATGCAGTACTTGCCCCAAATACATAACTATAACGTAGTTAACAAAAAACCTTTGGACATACTTACACTGAGGAGATGGCCTATTAAAAAAACAAAACAAAACAAAAAACTAGTTAGTGCTCTTTAAAAGTGCCAAGGTCGGCCACAGATAGCTCAGTGGGTTAAGGAACTTGCCACCAAGCCAAATAAACTGAGTTTGATCTTGTGGATCCATAAAGTGGGAGGAGAAAACCAACTCCTGCATTTGTCCTCTGGCTTCCACATGTGTACCCTGGCACATAGTCACCCCAACACAGATAAATAAGTAAGTGAAAAAAAATGTGCTAAGGCCATGAAAGACACACAAGGACTAAGGAACCATCAGAAATGATGGAAATGAGGGAGGTGGGGCTACAATTGGATGGACTCTGCACGGGAAATACAGCATGCCTATGGAGGCTGGGGGCATAGAATATACATTGCAGTGCCGGTCTGTGTTGCAGAAGGCTAATCCCTGCACCAGAGATTTTATTGGTAAACTTAATACACAGATTTGGGGGGCGGAGGGGGTGATGGGTTACGGTGCACAGGAGTGCCCTGAACTGAGGAACAGCAATGAGAAGGGACCCAGAGAAAGACACTCACGATGAGAGAGGGAGCCACGTGACTGACAAGACTCACAGTGAGCGCTAAGATGCAGCCTCGTGTGATGATTCTGCAAGTCCCACAACCTCCAATGGGCAGACAGGAAGTAGGCAGAGAGAGGCCAGTATAGGCGCATGAAGAAACAGTGGCACCTGGGAAGCCTAAGTGATTTGGAGAAGATCTTCCAGCAAAGGATATACATTGAGAAGACAGGATTAAATGAATTAGTAATCGATAAATTATAGACAATAATTTTGAGTTTTTAAAGTAATGATATTTTAGTGTACAAACCTTTAAAATTTTATTCTAAATTGGATATTACATTTTTCATTTGACAGCATAAAAACATGTATGATTATTTATTGTCCTATAATCTGAGGGGGGTTATTTGCCTAAATAACAAACAAGCACAATTGATCTAAAGCACTGGAAGCCAAGGACAGCAACACATCCTTAGTCAAGATCTTTCCCCACCCACCTGAGAGTGACTTACTGTAAGAACAGGTAAAATGGGAGTGTTTAGGTTATTTCACACATATTGGTTTTATAATGCTTCAGCTATTAAAAAAAAGAAATAGCATAAACCAGACGCCTGAACTAAAGAAAGTTTTGCTGACCATTATTTAGTCATGAAAAAGTTTTGCTTTATATACAGCAATTTGTTGGCTCACTAGGAGGGTACCAGATTCATAAGAAAAGAAATCCAAAACAAGTTGAGCCTTGTCTTCACACCAGCAGCCTGGTTGGGCAGAACCTGACACAGAATCCCCTGCTTTCCAGAAGATCCTTTGGGCCGGGCCCTTCAATCCCACTGAAATCCTAGAGACCCCCTCACCTCTGGGTCAGATGAGGGCACTCATCAATAGAAGGCCCACCTTATAACCTCAGCAAAGACTGGACCCTGATCATACAGTAGGTAAAAATGTCAAGAACAAAGAGTCAAGGAAGTCAAAAGCAAGACACCCTCCCAACTCACCGACATGGCTTGTCTTCTTCTACAGTGAAACTAAGCAGCCTATGCGCCATGAGCTGCAGACAGGCTCCCATGACTTAAATATGTGCAGTCTGTTGCATAAATCCTCCCAGCCCTTCTGGCAGGCAGAGTTCTCCACTGTTCACCAAGCTGGGGGTGGGGTAGCACTGAAGGAGCCCTGCTGTGGCCTTGTCCTCAGAGGGCTGCTGTGGGGTTGATTCATCTGTTCTGAATCTCAGCAAGAGGGCATTCCGGCTGCTAGACCCCAGAGTGAGCTCAACCTCATTTCTGCATTTAAGGGTGGTTGCTTCCAGCCCAGGGCAAGGTCCTCTTCTGAGTTTAAAAGAAAGAGAGAAGTTTTCAAATGTGTGTTAAGTGAGCTTGTATGGATATGTGTGTCTGTGAGCAAATGTGTGTCTGAGTTTGTGTTTGTGTGATTATGTATTATCTCTGTATATCTGCATGTAGGCATGTATAGCTGTGTGCCCACCTGTACGCAGAGCTTTGAAGGTGAGTGTGTACCCATGTGTATCTGTATTGTGTATCTGTGTGACTGCATGTGAGTTTCATGTGTGTTTCAAGTGAATGCGGCAGTATGTGAGTGTGTGTACTTGTATGTGTTTGCATATGCTTCAACTTATTGCCACTGCTTAGCCTGGTGGGGGTGGGGGTTCCAAATTCAGATTTCCAAGTCCAGCTTTGTTGACTTCATATCACTATTATACCATAAGCAACAAAATTCCAAGTCAATCTTATGTATATATCGAGGGATATTATTTTAATGTATTACACTTGTTTATGTAAAGGTATGTTACATTTGCTGATGCTGTGCAATATTACTTTAACTGTGTAAAGGTGTGTTAACATTTGTTTATGCTGCATTTGTGTAACGATGTAAGAATGTGTGTTTAATTATGTAAAGATGTGTAACATTGTATCACCTTGCCTGCCCAAGGCACCTGATGGGTCTAGTAAAAAGCTGAACACCCAATAGCTAGACAAAGAAAGGCTAGGAGAGGCTGGCAGGCAGAAAGAGAGGAAAGACTAAGGAGGAGAGAATAAGGAGAGGGACATGGCTGAGCCAAGAAGCCAGGCAGCCACCAGCCAGCCAGACAAAAGAAGCAGTGAAAGTAAGATATACAGAAGAAAAGGAAAAAGGCGCAAGGCAAAAGGTTGATAAAGAGAAACAGGTTAATTAAAGTTAAAAGGGCTCACCAAAAATGAGCCTAAGCTAGGCCAAGCATTCATGACTAATAAGAATCTCATGTCATAATTTGGGAGCTGGTCTGTTAGGTTTTTATTTTAAAAAAAAAGGAAAAGAGAAAGCTTTAAAATGAGACATGTTGACTAGTTTATTATATAGCCCGGCAGAGTAGGGAGACCGAGAGAGAAGAGGAACAGCGGTAATGGCTGACTGGCATGGCCGGTGGCCATAGAGAGCCAAGAAGAAACAGAGAAAGGAGAGAGAGAGAGAGAGAGAGAGAGAGAGAGAGAGAGAGAGAGAGAGACAGAGAGACAGAGAGAGAGAGGTTGGAGTTTTTAAAGGGAAGACCTGCACACTGAGGGTCCACGCATGTCCAGAGTCATCATGGGTGACCGGTGACGTGGTGATGATGTAGCACGTTTTCTTGCGCATGCCCTGAGTATTGTCAGGGGGCGGGGTCTGTCTCTTAAAGAGGTAGAGCCGATCAGCATCAAAAGCCTGAACCTTTCATGGTCGGTGGCCCAAAAGAAAAGCCCTGGTACATATATAAATTCTGTATAATATGCATATGACATATGAACTATGTATTGGTGGAGGAGGTCCTGTGTATATGATTGTCTTATTGGTTGATAAATAAAGTACTGTTGGCCAATAGGGAAACAAGGTAGGTGGGACTAGGAGGCAAGGAGGATTCTGGGAAAGGTAGGAAAAAGCACAGAGTCACCATGTGAGCCCAGGAAGACAGGGCGCTTGCCTCTGACATCCCATAAGTCTTATAGAATATATAGATTTATGATAATTAAGACTGAGCTAACAGATAAGAATCCTAGTCATTGGCCAAGCAGCATTTGTACCTAATGTAAGTCTCTGTGTAACTTGGGCAGCAGGGCGAAAGACTTATTGTTACAATGTATGCATTGTATGTTTATCTAATTGCTGCTAGAATCATCAAGAAAGTGAAAGCACAGGAGCATGCTGCCTAGGGTAGTCTGATTGTTTTGGTACAGAGGCTGTGTAAGTCCGTCCGACAGAAGGTCAGGGTATAGTGTAGGAGTGGATGACTCAATACAGCTGGAGTTTATCAGCTGAGGGGCCAGGAGCACAGAACTAAAACCTCCCAATTAGACCATCTGTGAATCGGTAGGCATGGTAAAAAAGACTTCTACCGGGTAGGGGGTGGGGGGCTTTAGAGGATGAGTAGTTACGTGAAGGGGCAGAGCCTGAAACCAGGAAGACACTGAGGCTCACGCCAGGAGCTGCAGCTGGAAGGTCACCTGTTCATTGTCTGCTGTGGAAATGAGCCCTCTCCCTGGGGGCAAAGGGGGGGGCAAGGAAAGTGGGGTTTCCTAGAGCATGGGGGCTTTGCTAGGATGAATGTGTGAAGATGGGCAGGGCCAGGCACAGATGCCGCTTCTCTGCTGTCGTTCACTGGTGGCATATCATCACCGTGGTCCACATTTGTCTAGAGGCTGGGCTCCCTCTCCCAATTCTGTCAATTTCCCATTTTACATACTCCACGGTAAGATGAGAATTTTTACTAAAGATGTGTGCTGTGCCTGCCAATGAACATGCTCCTCTGTGATGATCAAGACAAGACAGGGAAGAAGTCTCAGGAGGACTACACTCAATCTTAACATCAGCACATTCTGGCCCCAGGCACTGTTCCCACGGGACAGGGGGGTCTGGTGACATCTCCTCCTGATGTGGAAGGTACTATAGGATTCCTCCCCCCACCCACAGAGAGTGTAGCCCCAGGCTTTCTGTGAGTCTTTAGGGAGATGGCAGGCCTTGCCTCTTGTGCTCACTGTGGCTCACCTCACTGATTAAACCCACCAGCTGCACGTGTCCCTGCTCCACGTGGATAATTAATCCAGCCCATGAGGATAACTGGGGCTCAGCTGAGACCTAGAGTTGAGAATTTTTATTGTCCCCTGGTCTTTTCATGCTGTGTGAGGAAGGAACTAAGAATTCTTTGACAAAAGGAAAGTGACAGAGAAGAAGCCCCTGCTCCCTGGAGGCAATCCTACTAGGAGCTTGCTGAGGCAAGAGCCACCTGCCACCCATTTGCTAAAAACCACAGTTTCACCTCCCTGTTATTCCACAGGTCAGACTGAGATCTTTGTGAGCTGTTGGTGTGCTAGGTCCCAGCTGCTGAACAATCAACCTAAATCCCAGGTGTTCACTGCTTGTGAAGGGAGTGGAGTTCGCCAGGGCTTTACTATAGTAAGGTGAGCACTCACTGGAAAGAGAAGAGATATTGTCTGTGCACCAGCTCTGGGCAAGGCACCCACAATTGCCGTTCCTTTTTAGCTGGTTCTTGAACAGTTGTGGGAAGACAACAGTGAACCAAAGTGTGCCCCACTCTGGGCCAATCTTTGCCTCAGGGCGTCTGTCTATACTCTTCTCTCTCTTGGGCTGCTATTCACTAAAGAGCTCCCAACTCCCTCCACATTCCAGTTTAATGATGGCTCATTCAGGAAAGCCCCCCGGGGGTTCCAGCTACACTGGGATTCTCTGTGGCCCATCTATCTGGATCCGTGTTCCAGCTGTAACCACGCGCAATGCATGGGATGTCATTCTGGCTACAGTGTAAACTCTCTCTGGGGTGGGTCCTTATCTGTCCTGTGTAAGCCCAGGATCCATGCAAGAGTAGCTGCCCTGTATATACTTAGAAGATGAATGGCTGAATACAAGTAAGAATGCATTTTGAGGCCACATCACCTGGGCTCCAAAGAGCTTTGGTATCATGGCTACAGCTGTTGGCTGGCTGTGAGCTATCACTGTTTACCTGAAAATTTCCACAACCTGCAAGAAAGAAATGGCAAGCAGAAAGAGCTCTTCCTTTTTTTTTTGGTAGGTACTCACATGGCCCAGGCTTACTCTGTATCCCAAGGCTGGCTGTAACCTTCTGATCCTCCTGTCTTCATCTTTCTGCTAAGATTATAGATGTATGCCCTATCTCTTTCTTATAAGAATAAAAGCTTTTGGGGAAGGAGAAATGGCTCAATAAGTAAACACTTTATTGTGCAAACATGGGGACCTTGAGCACCTATGCAAAAAGATGAGCATGGTGGCACATAACTCCAGGGCTGGAGAGAGGAGGGCAAAACCCAGTGGATCCTTGGAGCTCATTTACTAGCCAGCTTAGTCAAAGTGACCTCGCCCAAGGCATAGTGAGACTCTCTCTCTCTCTCTCTCTCTCTCTCTCTCTCTCTCTCTCTCTCTCTCAAAAACAAGGTGTATGGTGTTTGAGGAAGACACTCATTGTTGACCTCTGTCCTCCACAAGCATGATCACACATGTATGTGCATTGCATACAAACACATACAAATACCACATACAGTCACACAAGAAAGGAAGAAAGAGAGAGGGAGAGAGATAAGGGAGGGATGGCAGGCAAGTACAAGCAAGCCAGCTTTGTAACAATAGTATTGTCAGGTCCAATCACCAGGAAATTGGTGTTTAAGTCCACTTAGCTCTGAGGCAAACCCTGATAGTTCATCAGAGCTTTGCTGTGATGATTCAGCGTCTGTCTACATACTATTTCAGAGTCACTCTAACTAGGCCTTGGTTCTCACTGTGACTCATTCCCCAGTCTTTCTCTGCTATAGACTGAGCCCTGAAATCACAGTCACAGCCTGCTGAGGTTTGAATGTGAGCTGTCTCCTATAGGATTTGAAAGCTTGATCCCCAACTGATAGCATGGTTTTCGGAGGCTGGTGAGACATTTGGGACCTGAAGGAAATGGGTCACTTTTGGCCCCAGTTTGTTTGTTTGTTTGTTTGTTTTAATTAAGATTTGGGGAGTCTCAGCCGCACACACCTCACAACCAGGAGTTCTGCTATATCTTCTTCTCCATGAGGAACGAACACTCCTAAACCTTGAGCCAAAAATCCTTTCTCCCTTAATACATTTCTGCTAGACACTCTATCATGGTGTTGAGGAAATATCTAATACAGGGCCTCTTCCCTGTGGCTTGAGATTTCTGACTCTGGACAAAGAAGGGGTCAGAGCCTTGAACTCCCAGAGATCCACCTGTCTCGACCTCCCTAGTTCTGGAATTAAAGGTGTGTTCTGTACCAGCTGTACTAAAACCAGCCTTTGGTGCTTGAAGGTGAACAAGCAATGTGATGGGAGGCTTCATGAAAGTAAAGAGAAGCCCAGGACCTTCAGTGATTGTGCATATGAGCATGTAAGTGTGGGCTGGACCCTCTCTCAGGGTCTGATTCCCAGAGATCTGCTGAGTGCATGGACAGACAGACAGCTAGTACTTACAGAAGAAGCTGCAGTTCGACACATGCCAAAGGGCATTATTCCCAGGAGGTAGAACAGTGATGAACAAAGACCACTGTCCCCCATCTGATGTCTCCCACCCCATGCTCTGCTTGTTGGCTGAGTATACCCTCAGACACCCTGCTAAGTATTCCCATGGGAACTACCCACAGAAACACAAGAAGAGCCCTCCTGGAGTTAGACCAGGGACCCTCCTGGCTGCTAATTTGCTAACCTGACCTGGGAGCCTTGGGGAGAGAGAGCAGGTCTATTCCAACCTCAGAAATGAACGGGCTTGGGCCCATCATTTTTAGCTTCCCTCTAGAACCAGTATGTACAAACTGAATTATTCTGACTCTACCTAGACTCAATCAGAAATATAAGTGTGTATTTTTAGCCATGAACAGCTTGCTTCACTTTTAGGGAAACAACAAATATAAGCTGTTCCAGACCAAACTCTCAACACTGATTGAAAAAATAGAAATCTAATAGCAGAATCTGTCCCTTACTGGCCTCAATTTCTAGACAAAGCAAAGAGCTTTGCATGTTTTCTGTCATTTAGTTCTCATATCAATGCTGGTAAGTAGTTATTTTATCTCTAGTTATAATTGAGGAAACAGATCGTTATGACCAGCTCAGAGAGGTCATATGATGAGGTCAAAGTGACAGGACAGTGGTATAAGGACAAATGTTTATAGATTGTTGTTAGGGATTATGTTGCTTTAGTAAATTAATGGTTATGAATTCTCTAATAACAATGATTTCACTGGCACTAAGTCCAATTAGAGAGATGTTGGTTACTGCCAAGGTATGCCCTATACAAAGAACTACAGGCAATTGAGTAAAGCTTGGTGAGGGAGAAGTGGTCCTCCTTAGGGAAGAGCACACTGGTTGGTTGTCAGTGGCAAACAGTCAGCCCCGAAAACATAAATACAAGTAACATTATATAGACTCAACAGGCTATTCATATATGTTTAGAAATATATATATTAATATATAAGTATATATATGATAGGAGTTGTCTTTCTGTATTTATGTGTGTCTTATTGTTTGATGAATAAAACACTGTGGCCAATAGAGCAGCAAGATAGGTGGGTCTAGGAGATGTGGAGGGTTCTGGAAAGTACAGGCAGAGAGCAGTCACCATGTGATCCCGAGAAGAGAGGATACAATGAGCGTTCTCTGGTAAGATAAAACCATGTAGAAATACATAGATTAGTAATTATGGGTTA